GCATGTAATTTCTTGAGATTATACTCCTGTAGACCACAAAAGATTATCTTACAAAAATGTTTTACTATGAGTAACCACTGACAGGCCCTTCAGATGTATCATATTAATATATATATTCATTCATTCAACAAATATATTGTTAATATATGGAGATATGATGGCAAAGGAGAATATGTTCTCTGTTTTTCTGGCATAAGGCATATAATCACATCATTATTTCCCACGTTTCCTTCCTGTCCTGCATTTGTCATCAGCGGGAAAATACTCCCCCTCCCCCCGGGAAGCATCAGGATTATTCACGGGGGATCTGCAGTCAGATAGCGAGATTTAAATCCTGACTCAGGTCTTGGGCAAGTTACCTAAATTCTAAATCTCAGATAGCCCATCTGTAAAATGAGGAGAATCAGAATAGCTGTCTCATCATGCTGCTATCATGATTAAATGACAGCCTTTCAGAAATGCTGGCACACTGTAAAAAACTCAGTGAATATAAAGAGAAGAAAATTCTACCTTGATTTCTTCTCATCTCCTCCCACATTTAACAAACACCAAGTCCTGTGACTCCTATCTTCTAATTATTTCTTGAATCAATAGTCTCAGGTACTGGTCTATTGCATCAGTCCTTAGGTGGACTAACAGGTTCCTACATAATCTGCTCATCTCTTGACTATTCCATATGCTTTCATTGTACCAACTACATTTTAGTTCCTAAAACTACTGTACTGCCTTTCTTGTAATGCTCTGTTTATCACTTCCTGAGAAGGCTGCATCAGCTTCTTTAACATATGAAGTTGAATTTGGAGCCTTTTAGGTAGTCAGTGAATGAATGAGCAGACCCAGTCTAACACCTGAAGAATGTATCTGTTCACAACCTTGTGAGGCATGGTCACAGATCTGGGGACACTCAGGAATATTTACCAGATGTTCCAGTCTCATTATCTCTTTGCTGTGACACAATGCTCTGCTTTGGTCTTTCAGAGAAATTCTTAAGAGTGTCTGAATCATAGAGCATGACACATGTTAAAGACTGTCTGCCAATCACTTTACAAGTCAAAGAGAATAAAACCCTGTTCCAAGAAAATATCTGAACTATTTTGGTCACCCCACTCACTTTTTCTCCTTCTGTGTTCTGAGAGACCAGTGGGAAGAGTTACAAAGAAGTGGCATTCAATTGTACTCTTTGTAAAAGACTCATGCATAGGCTAAAAATACAAAGATGTACTTGTCCTTAGAACTAGTTGAAAGTATTAACTTTACTAATCACTCACGATTGTCCCTGAAATAAAGCGCCAGACAGTTTATGCAACCAGGCAGAGAAAGAGAGAGAAAGAAAGCAGTTGGAATATTTTGTGCATAATAGGAAATGTTCTTCTTACTTTTAAAAAAAAAAAAACAGGCAATAATCTCTAACAATGTACTAGAAGGTAAAAATAGTAACACTGGTACTAGGCAGAGCAACAGACAAATTCAGTGTCTGTCCCAAACTCTTCAAAGTTGCTAAATTATTCTCCCAATGTGAAATTCTACAAGGAAAGACATTTCTACATGGAGCAGTATGAGTTTACCACAGTAGAGAGCTAAGATGATATACAATAGACATGCAGACACACCAAGCTCCACCCAACAAGAGTGTGAAAAGTGAAAATTATTATAGAGTAAAGCAGAGGGAAATCTGTTGTCAGGGACTTCTCCAGAGTACTGAAGAGCAATTATGTCAATCTAGAGAATAAGGTGCACTTGATCCAGGCCATGGACTTTGCAATTACTTGCTATGTATGTACCAGAGCTGGACAATGACTAAGAATTATAAAAGAATTGATGCCTTTGAATTGTAGTGCTGGAGAATAGTATTGAATATCGCATGGACAGCTAAGAGAACAAACAAGCTTGTACTGAAGAAGGTGAAATCAGGCTGCTCCTTGGAGGCAAGGATTCTGAAGCTTCGTCTGACATACTTTGGACATGTTGCAAGGAGGGACAAGTCCTTGGAGAGGGACAACATACTT